AAGCCAAACGGCTGCAGTACAACGAGATTCATCCGTCCTCATCTGATGAGATCGACCAACGAATCTCTTCATTCATTTTAATACGAATTGAAAGTCCCCTAACAATATTATCGCGAGAGATTCATCGAAATCCAGTTTCTCTTCATAACTATAATTCTCTTCGCCTGATACTTTTGCCCGAGTGTGTGTATGTTAACGTCTGTACGCAAATACCGAGCCTAAATCAGAATAATAAAAAAGGCTAATGTCAGGGTCTAGTCATCATAGCTTAATGACCCATGAAAAAGCTTTGACCAAGACTGCATAAGTCCGTAAGCAAGTATGATTGGGATAATGAGATGTAAGCTTGCAAGTGGATAGGTCAGGTTACGAAACCACCTGTCCTAACCTCTCAGTCTAGGGTCATTAAGGTTTAAAAACCCAAGAAAAGGCGTAGTCTCGTACATTTGGTTTGGTTGATGAGCTCAATCTAACATATTGGACGAGTATGAGTGAGGGTAGGACCATCACGGAGCGGCCAAGATGAGTCGCCTTTTTCTAAACGGCGACTCAACAACCTTTCTCCACTATAATATATCAACCGAGCATAAGTAGTTCTTATAAGTTGTTTGACCTTGTTTATTGCAACATGGTCATTTTGGTAGGAAGACTTAGAGGAACGCACCTTACTCAACTTTATACCACCATTCCTCACATTCAACGTATTCCTTGATCTATTAATTTCAATGGTCTCTTTTATCTTTCTTTTAACAGTATACGTACAATCATCAGCAAACTTACTTATTCAAGACCATTCTATCTCATGTCCAGTCACTGCCATGTGTTCGGCCACTTCTGATCGTTGGACCCGGCTACCTTTACAAACCTTTTTGTGTTCTCCCAATTTTTGCCATATAGGCCTGCATGTCTCATCAACATAACATCGATCACATGAGCACCCTATCTTATAGCAGCCCGACCTCGTTAATAGGTTATATTACTATTTAAAAGATGGTATAACAAAGGAAAGTGTGAGGGTTACTTTAAACATTGTTTTTATCCCCCCCTTCCTTACTAATTTGCCTATCTTTTTTAAAAGAAGGCATGTTAGTAAAATCAGGTTATGGGAAATGGTCTCAGCTTGTCTTTCTTTGACTAAAGAGAAATATTATCCATTAGCGAGATCCGCCTTCTACAAGATTGTTTTCTCCTGTGGTCGATGCTATGAGGAGGAGACATGCCGACCTATTTTGCAAAGATTAGGGGAACACGAAAATGCTTGTCCAGGAAGTTGGGTCCAAGGATCAAAAGTGGCCAAACACATGGCAAAAACTCGACATGAATTTAAATGGTCTCAAGCTAGTAGGTTCGTTTATTATGGTACATCTGCGGTTAAAAGAAAAATAAGAGAGGTTATTGAAATTAATAGGTTAGTAAATACGTTGAATGTGAAGAATGGTGGTAGAATATTAAGTAGGAACTACTTATGCTTGTAAGTGAGTAGGGTTTCGAGACTACCAGTAAATCAGTGTAATGAGATGTATTCACCCTATTTCGTCTAAGT